CCAGTTGGGATGACGGCACTCGGAGCAGCCTAAGCAGAGCTGTCTCCAGCGGGTGTTGTCTAGGGAGAGGATGAGCTCCCTCCAGGCTCTGCACACCTGGCAGCAGCGACCCAGGTCAGGGAGCGGAAGATATGCCAAGATAACCCTCCACAGCTCCACGGGGAGGCTGCCCACCTCCATGGCAGCAGAGACACACACCGGCAGGGGAGCACCTTGAGAGAGGAGGGGGGGGGGGGAGCCTGGAAACAGACACACGCACACACACGCACGCGCAGTTAAGGCAACAGGAAACCGCTAGCGCCTACCGTTACACAACAACAATAAACAAAGGACCTTTAAAACATCACACTCATGGCTATTAGATGCTGCAGTGGCACGCTTTTACTGCATCTAGCTAAAGGTACATTTTAGCAATAAAACCACAAATGAAGCAATAATTCTGTTAGACGGTTATTTTTATTTACGTTACCAATGTTATAACGTAGGCCTGAAATAATCATGTTTAAGAGTTTGCTACGACCAATGACGGCTATCCAGCGAAGGAAATATTTTCTTCCGAGCCTTGCTTAACTAACGAGAGCCACAACATCAACAAGCATCGTATCCGTCACAAATGAAAGCCTTACCTTTACCAGTATGCCATAGTAACGTGAATCAACACATGTCTGTTAAATGTTCGGTGCAGCTTTCCCGTCTTGCGTTAGCGTTACATGGCGGGTTGGTTATCTCTCACTGCTGCGAGAGTTAATAAAATCCATGATGTCTGCAGATCTGCCGCAGATGTGCCATCGAAATGGAGTTCAGACGTTTGCCTACAGTTTACGGCAAGAAGAAACAACTGCTCCATCTTCCGCTTCCCTGGAGTGGGCGTTAACCTTATGGACTGCTGGTAACGTTTTTATTATTTTATTCAAGGGAAAATATATATGGACATCCGACATTATATAGCCTACACTCAAAAGATGGCATTCGCGGTATAAAGGCAAATATAGGCTACGAGAGTAAAAAGTACGACATTTAAATAGAAAGAAAATAGTGATGAAAACTAAAGGAAACATTAAGTAAAATATTTATCAATTACACATTTGGTTTGATTGCCTTCTTATTTTTCTATATTTTCAGTGGTGCCATATTGTTGTAATTATAAGTGTAAAATGTTGATTACTTAAGAGTCAGTCCAGACTGTTAACGTTGTTGTTAACCACTTTAATCCTGTGATGGAGAGCGGGTAGTGCTCTAACTCCAGTTTTACCTGACAAATCCGGATACGCCTACTACTAGTGTATTTTACAATATTCAAATTCTAAATATCCCAATTTCTATAATGTATAGAGGCTGAGGCTAACCTCCCCACTCACTGTCAAAACATATTAGCTAAATTGAAACATAAACCATTTATGACATGTGTCCACCCTCACACTAAACGTTCTTAGCGTATTGTTAAAAGTATTATCATTTAATTATAGCATTAAAAGTAAATTATTATGCATAGGCCTATGCATATGATTTTCATTTCGAATGCAATTGCTTTCTTACACTTTTCTTACATTCATTTTTAATGTGAAACAACCTGAAACAATGACATACTATAAAAAACAAGAAACATCTTGGAACGTTTGCATTTTTATTTAAATCATTTTTAATCAAACAATTCTTCAATCATTTAATATGTATAGGTCTGTGCCTGTATTAAGCAACATACATGATCATCAAGAAACGTTTGATAATTGATTTGTAGTGTGATCTTGTAGTATTTTCTTCTGATAGGCTATATATTATATATTTACATGGAATCTGATTCTGCAATCATTCATATGTGATGAAGCTTTTTCTAAGGACATACGTTCCCCTGCCTTTGTGCAAACTTCTTTGCACAAATTCTGTTTGCTGTAGGCCTACTATGTGTAGTTTATCAACAGAATACAATACAAGTGGTTTAAGTTGGTTTCAGTGCTTTGTCACAGATATGATATAAAAATAGATAGCAACAACATTTCTTGGTTTGTGAATAATATTTCGAAAAGGAAAACACACCAAATATATATTGTTTTACAACTGTATAACTCAACCTATTCCTATGTTGAACCCATTTTAAAATGGTAAATAGTAGCCTACAATTCTACAATAAAACTATTAGATGTGAGATGCATCCTCTGAGAATGATTGTGGAAAAAGCCTTTTGCAATTTACATCGAATTTGCTGTTTATTTTGCTTTTCCTTCGATTACAGGAGGCTCTGACACCGGCTGGTTGCAGCTTTGGTCTCATTCCCCAGTGGCATCCTCCAAGCAGAATAACTGGAGCCAGCTTCAAAGTAGGTTTTTTACTTGCAACTGTAGCCAAAATGTTCAAAAGTTTAAAATAAATATTCCATTGCTCCCCATCACAAAACCATCATAATGTAAACCAGGTAGGCACAAACAAGATGACTCACAGAGCGCTAGATTGATGTTGAAGCTCAGGTTACTTATCATAAGCAGGTAAAAGTCACTAACAGGCAGGAGGAAACTACAGGCAATACAATCCTTAAAACTATCGGTTAGAGACAAAGGAGGGGAATGATGTGAAATGGGCTGGTATAAAAACTTCTAAGCCAATGACAGAATAGGGAACAGGAGTGCAGGAGGGCCTGGAAAGTCGGTTATGGCTAGAAAGGATCCGTCTAGTGTAAATATGACGTCACGTTCTCGTTGTAACTCTCGTTGTAATCGGAGCGGCTCGGAAACACATCTACAGCAGTAACATGATGCAACATACACATTAATGCAAGACAGCAATATTAATAAGAGAACATCAGATTTAATAGTAAAACACTGCAAGTGGAACATTTTATTGCACCAGGAGCTATCTTGGGACTTTTACTGCGGGGGGAAAAAACAACGTTGACTTGCCTTGAATACAAAATAAACCATAGTGTTGGTGATCTAACAGTGTGTCCATTCTGCTTTGAACAACCAACAAGACCGCTA